GAATAGTTAATGTTTCGAGTGTGGCTCGCTACCGAGGAATGCGCTGCAGTCAGCTGGACGATGCATTGTACCATGAACCATGTCAAGCCTTCGTTTTATGGCTCAATGATCTGTTAGGTTGTGTGCATATACACCCTCTCTCTTGCGCACACACATGCTCTTCAGCAGAGGTTCCCAAACTTTTTGGCATCACACCCCCTTTTTGATTTTTGAGAAACCCTCCCCCCCTCCCCAAAATAGCAGCCAGACTGAAGTCTGCTCCAGCCAGCCTGAGCGGCCCCCCTCCCCACGGGAATTTCTTCACGTCCCCCCAGGAGGCGCACCCCCCAGTTTGGGAACCCATGCACTACCGTGTAGAGGACACAGATGTAGGAGCATTCTGATACTGGGGAATGAAATCCTTCCAGGCTGTTCATTAGAACCCCAGTGAACAGAATCATAGAACTAGAAGGGACCTCAAGAGGTCATCAAGTCCAGTCCCCTGCCCTCACAGCAGGGCCATGCACCTTCCAGATCATCCCTGACAGATGTCTATCCAACCTGCTCTTAAATACCTCCAGTGATGGAGATCCCACAACCCCCCCATGGCAACTTATTCCAGTATTTCACCACCCTGACAGTTAAGAAGCTTTTCCTAAATGTCCAACCTAGCCTCACACCTTCCAAATCCCCTGGGCTGGAGTCCTTAAGAATAAGGGATGAGAGTAGAATTGGAGGTCTTTAAATCTTGTAGGTTTAGGCACCTGCTTTCTCATGGAAGGCAGCAGCTGGGGGCCCCCGCGAACAGACTCATCGGGCTGTCCGCTCCAGAGAAGAGCCCCAAAGTTTGTGATAACTATCTGCAATCCAGCTGTGGAAGAGGGGACTGCCCATGACCGCGCTTTCTGTGAAAATTCACGTTTTCTCTTTTGAAGGATGGCGACTTTTTCATGGGCAGGTCTTACTGGGAAACCGTTTTTCATCCCTGTGGTATTTATGTGGTGGGGCAGAGCGTCTTTGGCGCTTCTCTGTGAAACCTGTCTGGGAGGGGGGAGAAATCTGTGGGTGCTGTGGTCAAGCTGGTCTTTCTCTGATGACCCGGGACAGTCCGGGTGAAGGCAGGTTACCCACAAGGTGAAGATGCACTTCTAGATAGACTGGCAGCTCCCCTTGTCGCAGTGCCCAAGAACCCTGGCCAGCGAGGGGAGGAGATTGGAGAGACACCCCTGGGCATTGCTTGGTGGACGCCATGTTCTCCTGCAGCACAGAGGTGTCTCTGGGTGTAGCTAATCTGGGCTGAGACCCTTTTCTTCAAGTGTCACTTGGGAGTGTCTCCTGAGGAGAAGGCAACTGGACTGAGCGTATGGGACTCCTCCCAGCTGACCAGGGCAGGGGCCTGAAAGCTCACGGTGGCTGGGAGAACGTTGGAGGTCAAATGCCATGGAAACAGTCTGCTGGAGCCATTGCAGGATCCCGCGAACGGCTGGCCGGCTGAGCACGAGCTGGCTGCCTGCCCTCGTCTCTGCTGTTCTGCCAGAAGAGCTGGGGCCTCTGCTGTCTGGGGGACTCGGGTGAGGGGGAAACATGCCAGACCCTGGCAGGAGTTTGGTGAACTCAAAGCCAGGCACCTTGCCAGAGGTGAGCCAGCAAGGAGGGGCTGTGAAGGCATCTGGGTCCCCTAATGAGTGTAGGTGCTGTCCTGCGAGGGTGCCCTGGAGGGAGAGAGGGAGGGATGGGGAGTTGAGGAGGATGGTGTTTCAGACACTCCCAGGACCAGACCTGCCCAGGGGGCTTCTTGGCCTGTGGGTTTGCAGTTTTTTTTCAATCCCGGGAGGTTTGAGGTAGCTCTGGTCGGAGGAGTCACCTGGGAACTGAAATGTGGGGCTCTCCTCCTGAGAGACACGGAGGTCCCACAAGACTGGGGCTCTTCCAGCTTCCCATAGATAGAGGGCTGCCCTGAATTCTCTGAGCAGCCCCGCCCTCCGGTGCTCATTCAGGGGCCCCATTTGCTTGCGTTTCGCTGGGTCGGGGCCAGTGGAGACGTTCTGTCCTTGTGAGGCATGTGGTGGAGCGTGACAGCCATCAGGCACGTTTTCCTGTTCCTGGGGATCGCAGGCAAAGGAGATGTTTCCATGCAGCCGTGATAGAGGGCTGCCCTGAATTCTCTGAGCAGCCCCGCCCTCCGGTGCTCATTCAGGGGCCCCATTTGCTTGCGTTTCGCTGGGTCGGGGCCAGTGGAGACGTTCTGTCCTTGTGAGGCATGTGGTGGAGCGTGACAGCCATCAGGCACGTTTTCCTGTTCCTGGGGATCGCAGGCAAAGGAGATGTTTCCATGCAGCCGTATGGGGGCAGCCAGTCCCACTGCGCTCCCCTCCCGGGGTGGGGGTGTGTGTGCTGAGGGCCTGGACGTGGAAGGGGGTTGGAGACATTCTGCATAACATTTATCGCCTGTTGGGGAATTCCGTTTTGCAAGCAGAAGGGTGTGAGGTCCCCGTCTGGACCAGAAGGGAGTAGCAAACAGATGCGCTCGGAGGCAAGAGTCCTGCTTTTACAGCCCTGGCAATGACACCTGGCTTTCTCAGCTCAGGCCTTTCCATGACCCATCACGCCCTCGCTGCCATCCGGGTATCACGCGCTTGCTGTGCGTCCAAGATCAGGGGCCAGGGACATGGTCAGCACTGAAGAACAAGGGCCCTCGTGCCAGGAACGCAGCGCCCAGCGTGGCCGTTGGTGGCTCCGCTGGCTCATCTGATCACACTCGGAGGCGTCTGGTTGTCTCGTGCTGTTTGATTTTACGTTGCATTTAGCAGGCGTATACGTGGCCTTCTCCAAGCAGGCCCATGGGCCTTGCGCTCAGTCAACATATCGCAGCCCCAATTCTGGTTTAAAATGTCCTCTGTGGAGTTGCTCTCCTTGGTTGCTGCGTGGGCCTTACCCGGTGCTGGGCCAGACCCGGGGCAGGCCCAACCCCTCTCTGACCCCCTCACTGAGTGAATCTTGCATGGCATAGCGTGGCTGTGGGACAGCCACTTTACATACATTAAGGGTGAGTCTAGACTACGGGGGTTTTTCAAAAAAAACTTCCCTTGCATCTAGACTGCTGCCGCGTTCTTTTGAAAGTAAATCGAAAGAACGCAGCAGTTTTTTCGAGCGTGGAAAACCTCGTTTTATGAGGAAGAACGCCATTTTTCGAAAGTGCCCTTTTGAAAAAAGGCACCATGTAATGCAAACTGTGCTTTTTCGAAAGAGAGCATCCAGACTGCTTGCGTGCTCTTTCAAAAAAGCAGCTTGCTTTTTCGTAAGTACTGGTTGTCGTCTAGACGCTCTTTTTTAAAAGAGGCTTTTTTGAAAGTATTTTTTGAAAAAGCCTCTTTTGAAAGAGGCTTGCAGTCTAGACGTAGCCTAAGATGGGGACAAATTTGGCTACAAGTACTTGAGAGAGATCTTGGAGTCATTGTGAATAGTTCTCTAAAAACATCCACCCAGAGTGCAGTGACAGTCAAAAAAGCAAACAGACTGTTAGGGGGGAGGGATAGCTCAGTGGTTTGAGCAGTGGCCTGCTAAACCCAGGGTTGTGAGTTCAATCCTTGTGGAGGCCATTTAGGGATTTGGGGCAAAAATTTGTCAGGGATGATACTTGATCCTGCTGTGAAGGCAGGGGACTGGACTTGATGACCTTGCAAGGTCCCTTCCAGTTCTAGGAGATAGGCAATCTCCATTAATTTAAATTTGAATAATTAAAAAAAGGATAGAGAATAAGACAGAAAATATCTTATTGCCTTTATAGAAAACCATGGTGCGCCCACATCTTGAATACCATGTAAAGATGTGGTTCCCTCATGTCAAAAAAGATATAGTGGCATTGGAAAAGGTTCAGAATAGGGCAACAAAAATGATGAGGGTTTTGGAATGGATCCCCTTTGAAGAGAAACTAAAAAGACTTGGAGTTTTCATCTTAGAAAAGAGGAGACTAAGGTGGGAATATGATAGAGGTCTATAAAATCATGCCAGGTGTGGAAAAAGTAAATAGGGAAAAGTTATTTGCTTTATTCCCACAATATAAGAACTAGGGGTCACCAAATGAAATGAATAGGCAGCAGGTTTAAAACAAATAAAAGGAAGTATTTCTTCACTCAGTGAACAGCCAACCTGTGGAACTCCTTGCCAGAGGATGTTGTGAAGACCAGGACTTTTACAGGGTTCAAAAAAGAGCTAGATAGATTCCTGGAGGTTAGGTCCATCAATGGCTATTAGCCAGGCTGGGTAGGAATGGTGTCCTGAGCCTCTGTTTGTCTGGAAATGGGTGACAGGAGGGATTACTTGTTGTGTTCCCTACCTCTGGGGCATCTGGTATTGGCCACTGTGGGCAGACAGGATACTGGGCTAGATGAACCGTTGGTCTGACCCAGTCTGCCGTTCTTATGCTCTCTTGACAGGTCAGCCACACGCAGGGGTGGGGCCTCTTCTCTAGAGATGGGTCTGGATCCAGGCTGGGGCACTTGTTTCTGTGGGGCAAATCCTCTTGGAAAGGATCTATCCAGACGTGCCTCCTGGGGGAAGGGCCAGGCCTGTCAGAGCTCGGCTTGCCGTGCCCCGGCCTTCTTCGGGCTGACTCGCCTGGCTGGATTTCTTCCTTAACGCCCCTGTGCCTCTGTGCAAAGGGTTTTTTTCTGCCTGTCTTTCCAGGCCTTTTCTGTCTGTACCTGGGGCCCTATGGCTGCCTACGGGGAGCACAGGACCAGTGTCTGCCTTCTGCCACCAGCCGCTTAACTTCTGCCCAGCTGCAGTGGCGCCTCGTCAGCAGCCTGAGGGCCAGGGCAGGTCACTCTGCGGCCGGTTCCAGGCTGGTGGCTGCTGAGGTCCCAATGGTTCCTGGGCGACGCCCCGGGTCGGGCACAAGGGCTGCCCTCTTCTGCGCTCGCTGCACGTGGGTGCCTCGGGCCCATCGCTGCCCTGGTGGCTGTTCCTGTTGGCCTCGTGCTGCGTGATGGTGACCGTCTCTCTCTCTCACACGCGTGCAGGGTCAGACTGCAAGCCGTGCTCGCGGGAGTTTGGCACCAGCAGTGTCCCCGGCTCCGACTGCAGCAGCCTGGACACCTTCTCCCCAACTCTGGTGGTGGGGGACGAAGTCTTCTTTGCAGAGGAAAAGGCAAGTGGGGCTCCGGTTCTGCGGCCACAGCGCCATCCCGTGGGTGCTGCACACTGAGCGGGCAGCGTCTCCCGGCATGCAGGGGCTGGGCAGACTGCCCTGTAAACCTGGACTGGGAGCTCTCGTGGCTTTTAGCGCTGTCCCCAGAGCTCCACTGCCCCCAGGGGCCCTGGAGGGGGGGCAGTCCCGGCAGGGGGCTGTGGAGGGGTGTTTCTCTGGGGAAAGGGAGATTTTACTGCACCTCAAGGCTGCTCTGCTCCGCCATTGACTGAGCAGAGAACTGATGCTCAAGCCCTGGATTATTGGGTCTGGCGCCAAGTGGAAGGGGTCAAAGGTCAGCCAGCCCCTTCCCCAGCCAGCACGTGTGTGCCCCCCACCCCTCTCACTGCTACAAGGGCAAAGCTTTCGATTTGGTGTCCTGCGGAGGGGGAGATTGTCTTGGAGGGTTTGTACTGGAAAAAGAACGGGGAACAGGGCTACTGGAGGGCTTGGCCCATGTATTTCGCAAGTGCAGGGGGTGGGAAAATCAAACGCTCCCCTTTCCGTGGCATTAGTGGGAGCCAGGCACAGCGAGGCCGCATGCCCTAGGACAGGAGCATGAGGCTCGCCCAGGCTCAGGTGGCAGCTCCGCTCACCCACCAGAGAAGCCCTTTGTACCCCGGTTTCCCCCATGTAGAGACCGGCAGGCCCGCCCCGAGGGACAGTGCAGAGCGGTACAAGAGCCCGGCTCTGGACGTGGGCATCCTCAAAACCAGCCGGTTGATCGGCCGTAGGAAGATTCACTCCAGCCCTTTGCACCTCTTCTCTGGGACTCCGGTCCCCGGGTGTCCCGTGGTGATAGCGATGTGGCTCTGAGGCGTCAGGGGCAGCGCATTGCTCAGTGTTAATATTCCAGAGGCCCAGAGGGAGGGATTTGGTTGCCTTTGGCTGGTCCTGGCCGTCTCCTGGCTTGTCACAGGAGGTGAAAGGGGCGCTCGTGGGGCCATGCGCCTTTCTGAGGCCCAAGCCGCGGAGTCTGCTCCAGCCTCACTCCGCTGGGCCCGGGCTCTTCCCAAAGAATTAAGCTGTTGCTCCCTTGGCAGGAAGACTCCTCGTCTCCGGAGCCGGACGCCCTGCTGGGGGATGCGCACAGCAGCACCGAGGATCTCCTCTCCATAGACTCGGATCTCCACGGCACGGAGTATTACAGAGACTTGGGGCTGCCCAACGCGCCCGAGGCCGGTGGGGCTCCGGGAACCACAATGCTGCCGGATCGGACAGGCCAGGGGGTGCCCCGCTGTCCCGTCCCAGAAGAGAAGCCTGGAGGTGCGGGGCAAACGCTTGGGGGCGCTGCCTGCCCTGATCCCACTTCCGCCTCAGCGCAGGCCAGAGAGGCCTGCGGCCATTTCCTGAACAGTGACTCAGTTTGCTCCTGCGCGGCAGGGCCCCAGGACAGCCCCCCGGGGTGGGGGTGCCTGGCAGAGTCGGGCACAGGACTAGCACTGCAGGATGATGAGGAGTCCTTTCCTACCCTAGTGAGATCCATGTCTACCTCGCGGCGCCACAGCTGGGAGAGCTCCATGTCCCCTACGGAGAGCGAGCGCAGGTACGGCAGGGACCCTGCAGCCGGCTGGTGTGGGGCCTGTGGGGGACGGAGGGGAGAGGAGATGTGGGGAAACATCTGACATCGGGGTGGGAGGCCTCTGTGGGGGCTGCCCCTTCCTCTTCTTGGGAGGCCCCTGAGATCGCTGTGAGGCAAAAAACTCACATGGGCCGGGGCTGGCGTCCCGGGCATGGGGGCGTGCCAGGTCTTCCCCTTGGACGTTGGTGTCGGGGCCGCATACAGCGCCCCCAGGGTCTGGCTGTGAGTCCCGACGGTCGGCGGCCCCCGTCCTCGGCAGGCTGTTCAGTGTAGCCACTGCGAGCCCAGTGTCTCCACGGACCCCAAGATGCTGTTTTCTCCCCCAGCTAGAGCACCCCAGCGCTGGCTGTTCCCTCCAGGCACCAGGCTGGCCCTGGGGCCAGGGCCGGCCTTAGGGAAAATGGCACCCTGGGCGAACTTGTGGTTTGGTGCCCTTGGGGGCATAGCATCACCCATTTCCCCTGGCACCCATGGGCTCCCCAGCCCCCGCATCCTGAGCTTATGCCCTCTTGACCACCAGGGCTTGCACTGGGCCTCCTTTGCCCCCAACCTCCACACCGTGCCCCCCAACTCCTGCTCTTTCCTCCTCTCTCTGCCCCCTGCGCTTCCAGCATGTCCTGCCACGCTGCCCCCTGCCCAGCACCCTCCACCCAGCAACACCCATGCCCGGTTTCCCCTCCCCCTCTGCCTACGGCACCCTGGGCACGAGCCCAGTTTGCACCCCGCCTGAGGCCCAGCTCCGGGCTGGGAGCAGCTGTCAGCTTGGCAGTGACTGTGCAGTCTCCCTTCTCCCCCAGCCCCAAGAATTCCAACACCCCAGGTCACCCGGAGCCGCCCTTCCACGGGGGCTGCTCTCTGCTGGAGGCTCCGCTCCTGCTCCTGCCCAGG